ACCCTCGGGTTCTCTGATTCAGTTCTCGTAGGTCCCTCAACTCCCGCCGCCTACAAAGATGAGCAGATCATCTCCAACAGGGAGTAGCCGGTTCAGTTCCCGTCGTTGCTGGTAGCCAGGTCAGTTCCTGCAGGGAGTAGCTGGGCTGCGCTACGCTAGGGAGCTCCACTTCAGCCTCCGAGTCATCGGCCACTTGGGAGCAGACGAGGTGACGAGGTACCTAGCGAAGAAAAAATGGTAAGTGACCAGATTCGGTTACATCAGTATGCAAATCTAAAGAGCTGGGAAGGAGGATTAGAAATAGGAAGGATTCAAGAAAAAAAAATAGGCTTTACTAGGCAGATGGTTGTAGAGCCAAAAGAAAGAGAGGCTTTATGGCATTTGGTGATCAAGAGCATCCATGGGTTGCAACCAAATGGATGGGACTCAAGGGCTACCAAGGGTGCAACTTTGAAAAGCCCATGGAGATCAATTTTCACCATATTGCCTACCTTCTTGCAAAACATAAGATATGTTGTGGTCATGAAACAAATGAGGAAGTTTCTCCTGTAGCCCTACTTGAAAACTTTAATTTGTCCTCATCGAGGAATGATGAGAGAATTTGGATTCCTAATACCAATGGCTATTTTACTTGTGCCTCCCTTTTTAAATCCTTATCTCCCCTTACAGAGTCTCAACCTTTCCTGGTTAAAGAGGTATGTTGTAACCCAATTCCCCCCAAAGTAAAGATTTTTTGTTGGGAGGTTGTCAACCAAATCATCAGCACTCCTGAAACCCTCCAAGGCAATGGAAACACTGGGATCTCTCTCCTCATGTGTGTGTTCTTTGCTTGAAGAGTGAGGAAAATATTAATCATCGTTTATTACATTGTTCCTATGCTTCTAGTTTTTGGTAGCTTTTCTTCTCATTGTTTGGAAAAACATGGGTTGTACCAACTACACTAGTAGACCTATTTAAAACATACGTTTTTGGAGGACCTACACAAAGGCAAAAGATTGCTTGGCAATGTCTATGTGGGGCGGTGCTTTGGGGATTATGGTGTGAAAGAAACGTGAGGATGTTTGAAGAAAGGTGCAAACAAGTGGAGGAAGTGTTTGAGCTCACAAAAGTAAGGTAGCTCATTAGGCTGTGATTTGCGGGGCATTTCAAGGTGTTTCTATTAATGATTTGCTTAGGGAGTGGCAGGTGGTGATGGAGTTTCAGGTTACAAGACAACAATGGGTGGTCATTGGTCCCCTCCTGATGTAGAAGTTCTCAAACTCTACTTCAACAGCTGCAGCCTTGGAAATCTGGGGCCCTTGGGAATGGGGAGAGTTGTTAGAGATCAAGGGGGCAGTATCATTCTAAGATTTTCAAGTCCGGTGGGCCAAAGGAATTCTTTAAGGGCTGAACTTCTAGCCTTGATTCAAGGTTTGAAGTTGGCCGGGCAGGATTTAAGGAATGTGGAAGTAGAGGGTGACTGTCAAATGGTATTATGTTGGATGACAGGTCAAAGTCAAATCTCATGGAAATTCAGACCTCTAGTCAGACTGGTTCGATATTTAGGTGCTGCCTTGAATGCCTCATTTAAGTGGGTGCCTAGGAGACTAAGAGTGCTAACATGATGGTTGATTCTCTAGCTAAGGCTGGGGTTGGAAAAGTTTGTTTAGATTGGGGATGCCCAGGACCAGCTGATAACGTGTAATATGTAATCAGTTTGCTGTCACTTGTTTTTGTTTCTGTTGTTACTTGTAGTAAGGCTTCTCTTGGGAAGCTCATTGTTGTACCCTTCTTTTGCTGCATACATTTGTGTGCAGTTTGATGTTGAACGAATAAATTTTTACCCTGTTATTTATCAAAAAAAGTACTAAAGAAACTTGGTGGTGGAATGAAGAGGTTCAAAACATAATCAGATTAAAACAAGCATGTCATAAAGAATGTCGAAAACTAGAAATGCACAAAATTGGGAAAAATATAACCATAAGAAAGGAAATTAAAAAAGAAAGTGAATGAAGCTAAATATAAGACTTATGATGAGCTTTACCATAAATTAGGCACTATAGAGGGATAAAGATAATGTATAAATAGCAAAGCTGAGAGAAAGGAAAGGCAAATATTTAAACCATGTTAGGGAAAGGCATTAGGAGCCAATAGGATTCCAATAAAAGTATGGAAAGGTATGGGAGAGATAGGCTCATTATGGTTAAATAAGTTATTTATAGTGAAAGAAAAGGAGATGCTTGACGATTGGAAAAACAACAGCATAGTGTGCCTATACTTAAGAACAAAGGTGATATACAAAGTTGTAATAATTATTGGGGGATTAAATTCATGAGTCACACTATGGAACTTTGGGAGAGAATACTTGAATAAAGATTATGACTTGAAACAAGTGTATCAAAGAACCAATTTGGCTTATGCCAAGGAGATCAACCATGGAAGCCACATTTCTTTTGAGACGATTGATAAAAAAAGTCTAGAGAGAAGAAGAAAGAACTCCATATGGTGTTTATTGATCTAGAGAAGGCATATGATAGAATTCCTAGAGAGATAATATGGTGGGTATTGGAAAAAAAAGGAATTCAAAATAGGCATATAGACCTAATTAAGGATATGTATGAGGGGGCAACAACCAATGCTAGAACACTAGTGGGAGAGACTTCCAATTTTATAGTTATGATGGATCTCCACAACTCCACCAAGGTCCAACACTTAGCCCTAATTTATTTGCACTGATCATAGATGAATTGACTAAACACATTCAGGAGGAAGCTCCATGGTGCATATTGTTTGAGGATGATATTGGTTTAATTGATGAAACTAATAAAGGATTACATGCAAAATTAAGCTTATGGACAAATGCCTTAGAAGCAAGGGGTTTAAAAATAAGTATGACTAAAATAGAGTATATGACATGTAAGTTTAGTACTAATATGAGTGTAATTCAACATACCCTTAGGATTGGAGACCAAGAGATAACTCAATGTGACAATTTCCAATACCTTAGTTCAATAATTCATAACAAGGAAGAATTTTAGGAGGATGTCACCCAAAGAATTAGAGCATAATGGGCAAAATGGAGGGGTGCATCTGGACTTTTATGTGATAGGTGAATACCACTTAGACTAAAGAGAAAATTATATAAAACCATTGTAATTAGGGGTGTCCACATTAAATGTCAAACCGACCAAACCGGCGGCCCGACCCAATCCGAGTTGGTCAGTTTTTTAAAACCACTGTCGGTTTCGGTTTGTGTGAGAAAATAAACTGACAACTCGGTTCGAAACCTAACTGACCCAACCCTGTATGTTTATGTAATTACTAATTAGTCCCTACTCGGTAGTCCTTAGTCCTCCCCTACTCCCTATCATAGTTAACTTAAATTTTAAGTTATTTATTACCTTTATTAGTTTATTTATTACCTTTTTGAGTTTAGCAACCATTGCTATCTTTCCTTTTTTTTGGAAACAAGCAACCATTGCTGTCAAGGAGTCTTGGAATGGACAGACAGGTTGGGAGTTGGGATTGTTGGAGTCTTCACTCTTTAGTTTTGGAAAGAGAAAAATAAGAGAGGTTAAATAAATACTGGTAAGTGACTGTTGGATACTTGGAGTTGGAGTCTTCAACTGTTGCATGTTGCCTGTTGGAGTCTTGGAGCCAAACCGACTAAGGGTGTTCACATTGGACTGTTTAAAACTAACTATTTTAATTGTTATATAAACCGACTAAACCGATAAACCAACCCTTCATGTTTGATTCGATTTTGCTTCAAGGTCAATCGGTTTTGGTTTAGTCAATAAGTAAACTGACTAGGTCGGGTCAGTTGAAGAAATTGACTCAAACTGACCCAACCCGACCCGTGAACACCCCTAGTTGTAATGGAGCAAGAGTGTTGGGCAATCGAGAAACAATATCTCCAAAAATGAGTGCGGCAGAAATGCGAACGCTAAGATAGATGAGCGGAAAAACTAGAAATAATAGGATCATGAATGAAGTCATCCGTAAAAACCTAGGAGTAGCCCCGATAGGTGATAAAATGAGAGAAAGTAGACTAAGATGGTTTGGCCACTTGTGGAGAAGATCACCAACAACACCAATTAGAAGTGTTTTGTTACAAGTTGAAAGGGCTAGAAGGGCTAGGGGTAGACCAAAACAGGACATGGGTAAAAGTAGTAAGAAATGATTTAAGCACTAATGATTTAACAATGGATATGGCTTTAAATAGAACGGATTGGCAAAACATGATCCATGTATCTGACCCCATATGGTTGGGATAATGCATGGATGATGATGATGATGATGATGATGATGATGATGATGATGATGATGATGATGATGATGATGATGATGATGATGTTTTGAAATTGTTGCATAAGCTGCACACATGATGAATAGGTGGAGAAATACAAATTAGTTGCCAAAAGGATACAAGAATGAATGTCATGCATATGACAAACAAAACTAACATATATAGAACTTTAAACAAAGCTATGTACAAAGCAAAAAAAAAAGTAAAAAAAGAGAAATATAGCAGGAATAAAAAAACATAGAATGCACCCATTTTATTGTCATATATTCCATACCTCTGCTTTAAAAAAAATAGTACATGGCAAAAATGTCACCTTCCTAGGGAACGAATTTCCTAGATGCTACTCTTTCAGAGTATATCTCTATTGAATATGGTAGCATATTAGCATTGCAATTTTGTATTTTTTGTTTTGCTTTTGAGACCTTTTTCTTCTTAGAGGCCAATTCAACCAGGAAAAAAAAGTCACCATCCTAAGCCAGAATGGTTAGTGCAACCTTTGGGTGCAAGTTGTAACAAAGTTCCATATCCAGAACGGAATGGCAAAATGGGATTCATGTAGCAGGCCCCATATAGTTGGGACGAGGCTTAGATGATGATGAATCATGTTTGTAAGGCACTATTTGTTTCTGTTCATGTGAAAATATGTAATGTCTCTCCATTTACATAAAACCAACGATACTTTAGTTTTGGTAAATAAGGATACTTGACTCACTTGCCAAGTGGTTTTTGATGCAAGAGGAGTCCCAGCCCAGTACCATCTGTTCCTGCATTCATCAATTGATAAAGCAATCAGTACTTTGATATCAAATCTATATTATTCATAAAAAAAAAAGGATATCAAAGCTACAGAAAAGCTCCAGAACACTGAAACAGGGAATGCCCGAAAGAAAATAGAAAGCAACTAAATAAGTATTATAAAGTTTAAAATAAATGAAAACTTCAATTGTCTACGTTCATATATCGGCTTCCAACAATTAGCAAACACGGAGCCATCCACAGTCAGGCATATATTACCGGGCAAGAAGAGCAGCACAGGTGAATCTTTTAATGGACGCCCACAATCAACTGGGCAAAACCAGCGAGGAGGACCACCATCAGGCTTAATCATGTCCCTTGCCATATCAAGGTAATCCTTCACACTACCAGTCCCAAACCTATCATCCCACAACACCTCCAGCCCTTCCAAACCCATTTCATTCTCCTTCACTTCCTTAGTTTTCAAACCAACTCGTCCATTCCTTCCATCAATTCTAGACCCAATTTCTTCCTGGTCTCTGATAAAAGCAGTCTCATTGGCTTCAACAAGTGCAGAAGACAAAACCCCCGGATTCCCACCAGCCAAAGCACGAAACCGAACTCGACCGCATTTGGACACAGAAGCTACAGTAAGAGAAGGCAAGCCCAGAATACGAGTATTAGCAGACGAACATGCTACAGTCGAAGCCATTGCCTATCTAAATAATAGCTGCATAAGAAATTGGGGTTTGAAGTGACTTTCAGCTATTTGTTGAAGCTGGAAAGAAGACTATGGCATAGAGAGATTTATAAGAAACTAAACGGAGATACTGAAAGCGTTTATGGTTATGCTAGTAGCCTAGTATAAACTAAAAAACAAAAAAAAAATAATAACGCTCAATTATAAAGCTATTACCAAAAAATATATTTCTTTTATCATTATCAAAAAAAATATTTGAAGCAGGAGAAGAGAGAGAGAAAGAGAGAGTCATGGTCAATATTAACTCGTTTTTTCTTACTTTTCTAGAATGAGTCATCTTGTTTTCTTTCACCTGTACGGTTGAGTGGCGGAGGACATTTTGGCAGAAGACGCTGAGCTTCTGGGTTGCGTCCATGTTTTGTTCTCAGCTTCTCACCCGCCACAACTAGAACTGTCGATGCCTTTTCTGGTTCTCCCTTGGCCACAACTCACGCCATTAAAAGGCCATGCCCGCGCCACACCCCAAAGCCCAGACCACGACGTCCCAGAACGAGAGAATGCCCCCCTTGGAGTGTATATCAAACCATCAATCAATCCCACTAAATCAGCTCAAAGTGGGACCTACTGAAGTAGAGGTCGTAAAGTCGAAGAATACAGACAACAAGTCCTCGTTGAAGACGAGAGAGTAATGTGATAACGCGACTATGTTCAGTGAATTAGTGGGTGGCTTATCATCGAACATGTGGTGTGCCAGAGTTCCCGAGGGGACAGACGACCGACTGACCTATGAGGAGCCATGTGTCCATAACAATGACAAAACAAAAGACTGTTCTTGTGCAGGACGTGCTTTTTCCTTTTAAGAATTTGGGAAGACAGACCAGCAAAAAACGATTCCTCTCTGGTTTGGCATGGCCACCTGTGAATCAGAAAAACGCGGATGCTCCTGCCATCCGAGTTAGGCGGATAGACGGTGCCAATTGGCTCGGTTGATAAAGGCCTCTGGACTCTGTTCGGTTGTAGTCTTTATAGAGGAAGAAGATGAAAGATTAGGAGAATTAACTGCCGGGGTGCCCACGGTTCGATTGGGCATTTTTAAACCGAGCCGGTTCGGTTCATTCGATTTTTACATTGTTCTGAACCGAATCAATCAATTGATTGAAGGTAAATTCATTAAATTATCCAACTGTTTAGCTAATTGTTTAATTTATTTAAGTATTTCCTTAAACTACCCTTATTATTCCTGACAATTACACGTTAAATCGTAACAGAAAAGGATGAAATATCCTTTTTGCCCTTAAACCTCCCTTGTTTTGAAGTTGAACATTTAATATTGAACCGCCCAGAGGTCAGTTCTTCTCGCACAAATGAGTTTGAGTTGTGATGTGCAGATCAACCGACTAACCTCTGAGTCTGAGATCTCCGGTAATGTGCTAACATGAGTTGGGTCTCCGGAGCGGAGGTCTAAGATCTGGATTGTATCAGTTGCGATGTGCAGCAATAGGGGAATCTAGCCAGGGTTTTATCACTCCGGCGTTTAACGATTGGGTTGAGATGACATCATGGAATGACTTCTCAATGAGTGAGAGCTCTGGTTCAAGAGAAGCATGGACCGTGCTAGAAACAGAGTGTAGAGCAGAGATGACGGAGAGAGGAAGGAGAGAAGAGGGGGAGAGCAGGGTGCTGATTTTGGGTTGTTGAACCTACTGTGACCTTTTCTAACAAATGAATCAATTTGTTAGAATAGAAAAAAGAAAAATGCAAGTGCAGCTTCTTCTTTTGTTTTTGGGAGTAATGGAATTTAGAATTTTAGGGTAAGAAGAGGTTGTTGTAATTGATTACTTGATCAAGAAAACAGTCTAACTCTTTGAAGTTCTTCTCCACTCGAGCGTCCAAACCACTCAGATAATCCACCCACCTAAGTGATGGAATGAAGTCCTTCACACAAAAAAGTACCCAACAATGACCCAAATTCCATAAGCAACTTCTTAAACCTCTTCCCACCCTCATCTGCGATGTACTTTCTCCCAAAAGCTACTCTGCAGATCACATCATTCGTGAAATTGTGAGAGAACCAACATCTCGCTCAAGTTACCATGGCTAACAACGATGGTGAAGAGTAGCAAAGATGTCTCCTCCTTCCTCATTGAATTGTACCCTCTTTTTACTCGGAAGTTACAGGATGCAAATCCTACGCATATAGCCCCAATTGAGTTCGCGACTAGGGGATTAGGATTCAATCTTTAGTATTTGGATCAAAGGAAACCCGGTGGAGCAGTTTCTCAGTTCAAGGGCAATCGGTGGAGCAGTTCCCGTGGTTGTTCATCGGCTGACATTCTGTTCCCATGGGTGCGTCAAACATGGTGATGTGTGATAAAACGCCGGAGACCTCAACAGGCATGCCGCCCCAGAGGACTGAGATTTCCAGTCAGATACAGGCCAACTAAGTTCTGAGTTTGAGTTGCAATGTGCAGTCCAGATCTCAGATCTCAGATCTCAGACTTAGACCTCTGGCGTGTGACAACAGTTCGACCTTCGGAGCGGCATGAGTCTGAGATATGGACTGTATCTGACCGAGGGAGGAATCGATTCTGGTGAGGGATACTCAAATCTGAGATCCGATGAGGGAGACAGCATGGAGATTTGGACTGGATTTGACAGCCACCGTAGGAGCATGGAACGAGTCTTTCAGCATGGAGTGTACTGAATCTAAGATTCTTCTGGTAATCTCTGTTAGAACAGTCGAAGATGAACTCTATTTGCTTGATTGCTTCTAGAACCGTTACTCTCAGTTTGGAAGCAGGACAAATGCAAATATGTACAGCGTAAATACATACAAAATAATATAAAATATAAGGTTATACACTCTACATATTTGCATTTATACTCCTTACGGCCATTCTTTCTACTTAGATAAGGTTGCAACGGCGGTGATGCCTTGGTTTACAATCCAATATGCACGAAAAGCCGTGAGGAGAGAGAGATTCAAAAGAGTATTTTGGGAATTTTCAAAAATTATTGGTCACAGTTAAACATTAGGGGGTAGTTTAAGATATTTGTCCATTGATTAACTGGTTGATCACTTTGTTTATTTGATTTTTTGATTGTTCAGATTTTTTATTTTTATTTATTTATAATATATATAATAAATAAATAAATACATATGATATAAATACTATAAATATATATTATGTATATTATGTAATATAATATATGATGTATTGTAAATAGCTAATTATGAATATAATATGTAATATATGAGAAATTGATGGTTTTTCATATAGTTTAATCTAAATTGAAACCTTCAGTCTTTCAAAAATACCAAATCAATTGGTTCAGTTAATCGGATTTTTCTGACATGGTTTAACTTTTCAGTTTTTCATTTTTTTATGAGCACCCCTACTAATTGGATTTGTTTTAAAACTCAATTTTGTGAATTTCATTGGTTTCTATATATCTATCTACATATTAAAATTATGATTTTAAAAACTAGAGTGGATTGGACAATCAAAACTATTTGACATGGAAACCAACTGGTCATGTCTCTAGGTCCGATTTTGGACCCAAAAATAGCTTGACCATGCTTCTAATCAGACATTTAGATCATTTGACCTAAGAATCGATGGTTAAAATGATTCCATTTCTGAGTCAGTTTTTAAAACCATGATTGAAGTTTGGGCCTGTCGCATTAGTATGTCTCTCATTTTTCCCTACTATTTATTTTTTTGTAGTTTTTAAATTTTTATTTTTAAAATTGAACAACTCAAAGGAGTTAATTAACTTAAGTCTTTAAGACATAGGTAGGGATGTAAGTTGGGTGGGTTGGGCTAGGTTTATGGTCAACTCGAGCCTGACCCTAAAATTTGGGCTTAAGGCCCGAGCCTGAGGTCAAGCCAGATCTTCCCAACCCAAGCCCAGCCCGCACTATAATTTGATGCACTCAAGTTGGGTTCGGGCTTAGGTTGGTTAATGAACCCACTCTAAAATTATACATATATTTATGTATATATGTAAATATGTATACAAATGTGTATATACACACACACACAAATATGTTTGTATATATATGTAAATATGTATGCAAAATTTACATTCATACATATGTATGTATGAATATCTATATTTGGGTCGGGCTTAGGCCAAGTTCAGGCTACCTAAGGGCTAGGCCCGGGCCTAGGCCGAATAATAAAAAAGCTCAACTTCTTGGGTCCGTGCCCAGCCTAAGGACCAAAAATCCAAGCCCAGTATGTGTAAAATTTTGGGTTGGGCACGCCCAAGTTGCACCCCTAGATATAGGTCCCACCCCTTCTATCATTAACCTATTTTAGCAAATTTTTACAGGCCTCTTCCATTATTAAACTATTGTATTCCAGAGAGAGAGAGAGAATTTTACTCAAATCCAAATTCCATTTATTTGTTTCATATTCAAATTCTATTTAATCGGTTAATTGTCATAAAATTATAATTTGAAACTTAATAACTAAAATTAATAAAAATACCAAAGTTTACAAAAAAAATTAAATTTTAGCAAGTTTTTATCTATCAACTATTAAAAATTAAGAACATAACAAAATGTAATAGTTCCTAAGGCTCAATTTAGAAAAAGTACAAATACAAATATGTATAGTATAATACATACAAAGTAATACAAAATACAAGGTTTCACACTCTACATATTTGTATTTGTACTCCTTCCAAAGGGCCTAAATTAAAAATTGAAAAACATTTGACTTCTATTTAAAAACAACTAATATTAATAGGATAATTAAATTAACAAGAAAAAGGTAAAAAAACTTTTAAGAGTAATAAAATAAACCATTTGCATTCTATATAATAAAACTAATAATGGCCTAATTAGAAATGTCATAAAACTCATTCTACTTATGGATGATCATTTATAACTTAGCTCACCCAATTTGGATAGACCTACAAATTCCTGAGCTCAAGCAACTGTTTTCTTATACGCTAGGCCTAGCTCAGATTTGCACTAAGTCCACACACAATACGGGCAATAGAGCTATAAATGGATCAAATTCAGATCAGGTCCAGGTGCATCCACATTTGATCATGAAATATCTAGATCCACATCTACATCCAATTATTATGGTGGATTTTGGATTGGATTCAGATTTAATTCACATACCATCTTATTGTGTTTGAAATGATCAAATAATTCAAAAAGTTAAAAAACAATTATTTTTAAAGTATGTATGTATAATAAATTTATATGAAGCACACCTTGAGCTTTTAGAAATTAACTTAAACATACCCTAGAGTTTTAAAATGGACTTAAAAATGCCTTGCGACTCTTTTACCCTTCATTTGATTTCAAATTGTCAAAAGGAACAAAAAAGAAGATACTTTTATTGATTGTTCAATATGTTAGTGGGTGGACCTAAAAAGATTTTGGGACTTCTCCTAATGGGTGCTCCAAAGGATTCCGGACAAGTGGACCTTAGAAGAAGGAACTGCCCTTAAGTTTGGGGTTAAGAAACATGGAGCAAGAATGGATCACAATACTAAAAGACCTAGAATAAGTAGTGTATTGTCTTTGTGTTCAAATGTGAATCTGAAGAACAAGACAAATGGAAGAACATCATTGTCTTATTTACATGAGAAATAAAAGAACATGGGATGCACCTATCCGGGTAAGTGTTCCCTAGGAAAAACTTGCCCAGCTAACTGCATTTACCCAAATAAGTAACTTGCTGAGAAGCGAACGGGGTCATATTGCTTTGTATATTGAGGACCAGTGCTGGGCACTGCCAAAACTTCAAGTGGCTATTGTCAGAGAAGTTGGAGTTTTTGACAACAAGTGGTAAATTGATTAAGGTAAAGGGCAAGTATAGGATCACACTAAGATCATAAGCTTTCTCGAAAAGAAAAAGCTCTGGAGTGTTAATACTAGAGAGAAGTAAGAGGAATTATTGTAGAGAGGGAAAGTCTCATCTATTGAAGGGATATAAGGGTAAGATACGCTTTCAAAAACTTTAAATGAATTCAGATGTGACATTTCATTGATGAAGGGTATGTGGGGTTGGTACACAAGGTATGCTTAAGTCCATTTTAAAACTTTAGGCCATGTTTGGTTTGAAGGAAAAAGTATGGAAATAAAAGCAAAGGAAGGGAAACATGTATAAACCTTGTATAGGTTTCTCTGTCTTTCTCTTTCTTTCCTTACTTTTTCCTTCAAAACAAACACAACATTAGGGTATGTGTAAGTCAATTTCTGAAAACTCAAGGTATGTTTAAATCTTTAACCCATAATTTTATTATGACTAGAACCTAATTTCATATATTTACTAATATTTACTAAAAATTTGTAACATTTAATCATTAATAAATTAAAATAATTAATATAGAACACTAACATATAATATAGAAAAATAATTATTTTAGTAAGTAATTACCGGTATTTTATTACTTTTGTTAAAAAATATTAATATAATTAATTCAAATTGTTACAAATTACTAAATTAAAGATCAATTATTTTAAACAGCATTGCATTCCTTCATTATAATAGTTATCAGCTGCTATCGTTTCACTTTCCCTTGACAAATCTTGTGTTGTCCTCACTAGTATATAATAAAACAAGACATGCCATGCCATGTTAATATTGGCTCTCTTTTCTCCCCTACCATTTATCTATTTTAATTTGTGTTATTTTTATTTCTATTTTTAAAATGAAACAAAATAACTCAAGTAGCCAATTAATTTAAGGTGGCGTTTGATAAATCTGAAATCTAAAATCAGAAAAGTTAAAAATGATTTTAAAAGTGTCTAAAATCTGAAAAGAGACATAGTTGTTTTTCGACTTTTTAGATGCTCTAAATAAAGAATGTTGTTTGTGTTTCAGCATCTGAAATTCATTGATTTTACTATTTTACCCCTAAAATAGACTATTTGGTAATTTTGAGTTCAATTTGCAACATTTCATAAAAATAATTTATTAAATTCAAAATAATATTGAAAAATATGAGTAAATTATAAAAAATCAAAAAAATATTAAAATAAGAATAAAATTGAAAAATACATATCAATTTATAAACTAAAAAAAAATTATTAAGAGTTAAAATAAAAAAAAAACATACCCTAGAGTTCTAAAAGCTCAGGGTATAATATACAGCCCATCAAGTGGTGAATCCACCAATATTTGTTAGTAGTTTGTACACATGGTAAGTCTGCCTCTGTCCTGCCTAATTAATGAAATTTTGGGCCAAACAAAAACCCAAATTCGAGACTTAATGGGTTGGCCCAAGTTTAGATAATCCAAATAGGCCAACCCATTTTAATATTATCCATGTAAACAAACGTGCAGTCCGGATTCCTACTAACTTCACCCAACTCTCTATTCTACTAACCAAATAAAATTTTACCAGATGTCAATGAGCATGTGATAATAATTCTCTTTCACGCAACTCTCTATTCTTTTATCTTTTCGATTTTCTTTCTTATCTGATCTCATGAGAGGACCCCATCGTACATAAAAAAGGTATTAGTCAGGACACGTGTGATGTACAGGCTTTATTTATAAATAAAATTGAAGATGGAGCTGTATAATATTTCCAATTAAGTGGTGTTCATGTAAGTCAATTCAAGTATTATTTTTTGGAGTTATGTCTAGTTTATCCAATCACATTTAAGTTGCATTTTAGTGAGAGTGGCCAATTTCCTATTCTCTAGATAAATTTGAAAAATATATATTTTTATTTTTGTATTATTTCTAGGTAAAATTATAAAAAAAAACATCTGCTTTAAACAATTCTATAAACCACCCTTGTGTTTTGACCCTACCAAAGGCCTTTCCTATAGTTTTGAGAAAAAAGTGCAAATACCTATTTTCCCTTGGCTTTTTGATAACAAAGACATTGAAGTCTTATATCATTGTTAATGCATTATCATACATAATTTAAAGTTTCAATGTTACCCTTTACTAATTTATTTTTCCAGATAACTTTCAAAGAATAATGCATTACATTAACATTATTTATGCATTACATTAACATTATTTATGCATTACCTTGGACAAAATAAGGTAAAAAGGCTGAAGTGAAGTAGAATTAATGCATTACATTAACATTATTTATTTGAAATGCTAATAAAAGGAAGGAATTTGCTTTTTTTTTTCAAAATAATAGGGGAGGTTTCGTTAAGGTCAAAAAACTGGGGAGCTTCATACAATTGCTAGAAAACCCAAAGAGGTTTTTATAATTTCCCTTATTTTTAAATGAAATTTAAATAGATTTTAAAATAATTAAACTATATTTAAAATTGATATTTTTATTAACTTTTAAAATTAGTAAAAATGGAATTTATTTAAGTATATTAAGTTTTTATTAAATTTAAATTCCTTATGAAATTTATATAAATTTTTATTTTTAGTGGAACTTAAGTTGGTTTTAAATTAATAAAACTTAATTATAAAACTTATAATTGTTTGGTAATTTTGTATTAGTTTTATATTCATTTTAAATTGATATTAGTTTTTATTTATCTTATTCCTTTTATTAATTAAGTTCTTTTTATTATATTAATAAAAAATATTTTCATTAATAACGATAATTAATAATTGTTTTTATTTTATTCAAGTAACTTACTAAATTATTTTTATTATGGTTGATTAACTTTTATTATTTTCAAATGGAATATGAATGGATTATAATTTTGAACGAAAGTAAATTATTTAGCATAATAATATACCATTGAATATATCAATTTCAATACAATTAATCTTTACTAATAATTATAATATGTCATTGAATATTAGTGGCATGAGTTATTGAAGGAGAGAGTTAATAGCATAATTAATGAAGAGATATTATTAAAACAGCTAATGGAGGAGAGAGAGAGAGAGAGAGAGAGAGTTAATGATATATTAATGAGGAGTGTTAAAAGTCTTAAGGTGATTGACCATTTAAATTGTTTTGTTCAACTTTAAAATTATAAAATAAAGGGAAATTGTCTAAAACTCATCATGAGTTTTCAGCATTTCTCTTAAACTCACCACAATTTTTCAAAATGTCTAAAACTCACCATGTTGCTAACTCAACGTTAAACAGATTAACGGGTGTCAATACATTACCATTTTAACCTTCATAGAAAAATATAAAATATATACAAAATAAATTAATGGGTGTTAATATATTACCATTTTAATATTTAGACATGAAAAAAAGGAAAAAAGTTCAAAAAATATTTTCAAATATAAAATACATAAAAATATAGAAATTACAAAAAATATAAAAAATTATAGAAATTGCAAACAAAATAAAAAAATATTTTCAAATTATAGAAACTATAGAAATTGAAAAGAAAATCAGAAAATAAAAATTGTAGAAAAGCACAAAAAATTATAGAAAAACACAGAAATTACAAATAGATAACAAAAAATATAGGAAAATTATAGATTGTAGAAAATAGAAAATGTAAAAAACGGAAATTATAACAAAACACTAAAAATGCAAAAAAAAAAAAACATGAAAATTGAAAACTGAAAAAGACCATTTTTCCTCTAACTCGCCATTCAAGAGTAATTTGGCCATGAAAATTGTTATTTATGCTGACATGGACACCTCTGTTAAGAAGCATTAACGGTGCACTAACAAAAGGTGAGTTTTGGAAAATAAAAACTTACTGACTTGGTGAATTTTAGTCAATTTCCCTAAAATAAAAAAAAAAGATAAAAGATAAATAACTTTGAGAATATACCACAAAACAGAAAAGTGCTAGTAAGCCAAGTTCAACCTCAAGTCCCCATCTAGTATTAGCTTGTTGTTGATGATTTTAGGGGATGTTTGGTTCTGTTGCCGTTATGAAATAAACTTTTTGTATTTTTATCATTTTGAAAAAATAATTGATAAATGTTTAAGTTTATTGATGTTTTTTGACAATTAGACACCACTAGACGCCACATAAGCTAAATAGTAAATAAATGCTTTGGTGTTGAGAGAAACATTAAGATGGTGTTTGGTATGATTTTCGTTTATTTGGAGAACGATGTCATTTCATTGCCATGTGTTTGTCCCAAAAATGCTATTTGTTAAGCATGTTTATCAAATAAATGTTTTGTCTCCATTTATATATAAGCCAACCGTTGGGGGGAGCTTCATTTTAACATTTCCCCCAACGCTAAGGTGCTTGTCTACTGTTTTGCTTATATAGTGCCTAATGGCAGATTTTGATGATAAATTAAGTACAAACTTTTTTTTTTTAAAATAAATGAAAATTATATCAAACATCATCTAAAATGAAACTTCTCCCAGTGGTTGGCTTTCACATAATAACACAAATCGAGACAAATGTTTATTTAATAAAAGTTTTATTGAATAGCAGTTTAGAATAAACATCTATTGGCAATGAATTGGCAACGCTGACAGTTTTTTCTTTTGAAAAACGTTTATTAAGATGATGTTTGGTATGGCTTTTGTGTTTTGGTAAACGGTGCTAGCTCATTGCCATGTAAGCGTTTGTACCAAAATGTTATTTGGTAAACCTGTTTATCCAATAAACTTTATTATCTCTGACTTTTCCTTGATTTTGAAGATAAATCAAATAAAAACGTTTTTTAAATAAATGGAAGCCATACCAAATATCCCCTCAATAAATGTTTGTCTTAGTTTGTATGAGAGCAACAATTGAGATAAGCTTCATTCAATAATTACTTTTCTTGTTTTTCAAAATAAATCCCGTACAAAACCTTTCTTCAATGTTAACAAACCGCCACAGTAACAAGCATAGCCCATGTTATGAATTGCTCTTACACCATACACATCGTAATTGGTTGTTGAGTTTGGCAACATGGGTCAAGGTTCTCTCGAAAGAGCAAAGAGAGAGAGAGAGAGAATGATTCTTCTACGCTTAAAAAATGGATTTTTAATTAAAAAAAAGGTGTCTAACGGAGCGTAGAATAGAGAGCAGAATGTGGGAAACTTTAGAAAACAGCATAGTTACTTGATTATTTAACAAGTAAGCCATATAATAAGCACGGTTGGTTAAGTGCGTGAAATGTGCTCTATTTTTACTAATTATTGATCATAACCAGATTTATGGGAATCCCCAGAACATGAGGCCATTGAGTCTCTCTTAAGAGTCGGAACAAGCCAAGTGAAAGAAGAGATGGAAGAAGTTGACTGGTTTTTTCATTGGGGTTGTCAGTTGTGTTCTATTTTCTGCAAAATCAATCCCGCCCACTGTCACTGGTGTGATCTCTGGTTGTTTGTCAAAATGTCGAAACGAGTTTCTGGGTCTCAACAAATGGACTTACAGCAGTAAACTAAATGTAGCTTAATAAAGACAAGCAGTAAGTTAAAGCAGTTGTACATTGTTGGCTAATTATAAATAACAACAGTATGATGATGAAGAGCTAGTTTGGTTCTATGATATGATACAGACATGGATTCGATCAGCACTTGATCAAACACACACACACACTTCTTAATGCAGACAGACCCACAACCAAATTAAGCTTCATTGATTAGCTCTGGATTCTGATTAGCAGCGGCGGTAGAGCGCGTATGTGGAGACCATAACCAGCGAGACAAGGAGAATAGAAGCAAACAAAGAGATTGCAATTGAGCTAGCGACGTGGTGGCAAAACTTGTCGTAGACAGAGCAGATCTTAGTCCATCCTACGTGAGAATTGCCCTTCAGCCCGATGTAAGCCACACCACCCGCCGTGCCAGTGGCTGAGGCCACCAACCCCAGCATTATCTGCAGCACCAGATACAGAGATAAGCTCTGAGTAAGTATATCTCCTCTTTGTACCCAGCAACATTAATGTTAAAGAGAGGGAATCAAGGAGATTATATATCTGTTAGCAGCTAATTAATTAATTAATTAATTACCAGATCCATGAAAACCAGGAGAAGGAAGAACTTCTTCGAGGGGCATGGCTTCCAGATGGCTCCCAAGGATGTGAGCGTGGTGATAATACTGTATAAACAAGCCACTGAAAGTGCAGCCACAAAGTATCTACACAAGGTATATATAGCGTTGATCAAAATTACATAGAAAATAGCAACAGACGACTCAAGTGATCAGCCAGACCCAGAATGAATGAGTGAGGCTACATGTCAATCAGAATTTCCACCTGGCAAGCCGGGTCCAGAATGAAACTCTAGACTCTAGCCAAAGCGCTAAACCCATGATAAGTCATGGGCTCCACTTTTGATATCGATTCTGGTCCCACTTTGACAAATTGATGCAAACTTTGTTGACTCTTAATGGATAAGCTCAAAATTAAAAGCTGGGTCATTTTGTGTTCTTCTCCCGGTGGCCGGCCGGTGCATATACTGTACCAAGCACCGAAAGATCACCGGCCCGGGACTGAGAGTGATGAAGCTGATAGAGGATCATATCAGTCTTGGGGCCAACCCCAAAAGATCAGCTACCTAAGTACGTGACGCAAAAAGATCATCAGCTCTACCAGTCTACCTATCTACCAGTCCAGACATGTAGTAGTTCAAGCAATTCAGTTAAGATCAACTTACATGGTTGCCGGAGAGTGATTGAACTTGGCTGCTTTGTAGCCAAAGGCGGGCATCGGCAGTAACCGGACGGGCACGAGCTCGGTCTGCTTGCTGGTGACCATGACCACCACGGCCACGAGCGTCGACGCGAACAGTAGGACTCTAAGCGACAAGTCCAGCGACAAATATTTAGTGGCGGGTGAGGACGACGCCATCTCTTTGGATGCTTGAGATTCAGACGACAAGGTCGCCTGCTTCTCGGTAGTTGCTTCCATGGGTTCGTACGACGTTAAGCTTGAAACCCAAGATGAATTAATGCTGGATATCTGCAGACTAGAGATGATAAGAAATGGAGATTTCTTATATAGAAGGCTGAGCTGACTGCTGAGTGTTGCGTTGCTTGGACGGTTCGATACGCCTCTTACATAATACCAATTGAAAATTAAAGAAATGACAAATGGGTGGAAGGATGTATCCTCAATTATATTCCAAACTCACAACTCTTTGGGTTTCACATGTACGTACAGTATGAAAAAGGGTTTCTTGGATCATCCATTTTTCTTCTTTCTTAAATAAACCAAATTTGCAGAGACAACGCCAGGCTGCAATTCCCTGGATTCATCTCCCTTCATGACAGAAGTGGGACCCACGAAAAGACCTTACCGATCGACTTTATTTGTCTTATCTCTAATGGTGGGTATTCCTTCCATTTATGATTCATGGCATGGTTTTGAAAATCGGACCGGAAAACTCGGGAGCCGGTTTCGTTTCATCCTAAAACCGTTTTTTTTTTTTTTTTTTGCCAAATCCATTCATTTGATCAGTAACCCATTAGCTCGGATAGTCGAACTGTCAACCCACCAATCTGGACAACAATTTTAGCCGTTTTTTTTAATTTTAAAGTCAAAATAGGCCTTCCATTTGAATTAGATGGTCAGATCATTATTCGACCCAAAAACCAGTCCCTAGCTACAATGGTTCTATGTCCGATCCAGTTTAAAAAATCTTGATTCATGAATCCCACATTCCCACCTCTCTCTCTGTTCATAATCATAAACCATGAGTAGAGAATAGAATGGCTGGGATAGGTTTGTAGATAGGAGAAGTTAGGTAGCTAATCTGTTATTGACCAAGCTATCTCCCCTCTGAATCCATGCTCAAAAGCATTCAAAAATCAGAGAATCCATGGACAAGTGGTTTCATCAATTAAAAAAAGAAAAGCAAGTAGGGACGTGCATGTTAAAGAAAGCAAAAGTTGGATTATTGGAACAAAAAAGAATCCTATAAAATATTCTTGCAGAAGCAAAAAGGATTTCTCTATAAGATGTGGGAGTTTATCTACACAGCACAGACTACAGACTGGAGACAGAGACATACAATGGATGTCCCAAGGACCAGGTTCAATTGGACTGGATTTGGTCCAATTCGATCCAGCTCAATGTGAGTCCATGGACCAGGTCCAATCCAATGAATGTTTTGAACCAATTTGGATGGTCCAATTCAATGTCTGGACCGTCCAATCTGTTCAAATTCATTTTGATTTAGATTGATTTCAACCCAAACCCGGTCCATTGACACATATATTCTTATCTTATATCAATGGACCAGATTTGGTTTAATCCAACCCAATCCAATATAAATTTATTACGGACGGATCAGGTCCAATCTATTCTAATAAACTTTTGGACTGAATTGGTCCAACCCAATATGTCTTGTTGGTCCTTCCAATTCATCCAAATTGATTTTGAACTGGATGGGTCCAATTCAAAACCGGTCCATTGGCACCCTTATCTGTCATTCACTGACCCAAGTATGTTACAAGTGTAACTGTGTAAGAGTATAGATTTCAAAATCTGAGATCAAATCAGCCCCCCACAACGTCTCACTGCACACCCGTGTATTGGAAACATCTACCGATAATATACCAAAAATGATTATGTCATTATTGGGAGATGTTCTCAATACACGGCGGGGATGTGCTGTGGGACGTTGTGGGGGGCTGATTTGAACCGAGTCAGCCCAGTCTGATGAATAAGCCAGGTGACCAAGCAGTGAGCCAAATAGGATATAAATAGCCCTAAAACATTAGAGCACAAGGGGAGGATGAAGCCTCGATGGGAAAGCACAGCCTCCCACTTCCCTCCCTTTTGGCTCGGTTTGGAAGAAGTACAAATACAAATATATATGTAGATTGCAAAACCATGCATTTTGTATGCATTTGTACTTTACATATTTGTTGTACTCTTTCATTTGCAAGAACTATGATGGCCTGATTTAAAGTATCGAAGCATCCAATATGCACAAAAGGCTTATCGGATGTTTCACTACTTTATTATTTTGTTAATCGAAGGGTTCATTTGGTTCATAGTCACAATCAGAATCAGAGTGATCTTTCCCATAATTTGGTTTGTTCAAACAGGAATTGGAACAAGTTGGAAGGGGGAGGGAATGGCCATTCCAATAGGAATTGGAATGGGATTCTTATTCTGCCCAACCAAACATTTGGATTTGGAGTAAGCTGGAATGTGATTTGCCATTCCAATAGGTATGGGAATGGGATTCTTATTCTACCTAACCAAACATTTGGATTTGGAATAAGCTGGAATGTGATTTCATTTTCAAGGGAGGGGGAGGCAATGGCCATTCCACCAGAAATGGGAATGAGATTCTTATTCCGCCCGACCAAACATTTAGAATTGGAGTGACCCATTCCGATTCCGATTCTAGACCCCTATTCCCAAGAACCAAGCGAGCCCTAATGTTTTATTTTTCAAAATTGTATCAGGGGTCAGTTTTAAGCATGCGTACCCCCTAAAAATAGTAAAAAACCGAAACACCTCTAATTTGGGTTTAGGACAGTATAATAATCCCGATATAGAGCGTATCATATTGAAATTTTGAACCTTAGAAACCAACTAGAGTCCATGAGAGCGATCTATTTGTCAGATTATTTGGCCAAGAAGGTCAACCAATCAGGCAATATCTTTTCTTTTCTTTTTTTTTTTTTTTATTTGGGGTAAAAACCAGGCAATATCTTATATGTGGAAAGTTGATTTGGAGCCGGAATTGGGCCAAATTTAAGCCCCCCAAAACGCCTGTTCGTAGCCAGAATAAAGGCCCTGTTTTTGGGCAAGTTAACATTGAAGTACTAAATAATGGCGTATGTTCCTATCCATTTTGATTTAAATAGGGCTTAATTGGATTCGGTTATTCAATGCCATTAATAAATTAAGGTCATGTTTGAGAGTGTTTATGTTAAAAATAAATGCTTATTGAATAAATGCTTAAAATAAGTACTTATTTGCATTTGACACCTAATTTTTTTAAGTGCTTATTTTAAAAATAAGCACTTATTTTATATTGAGTGTTTGGTGGTATTTTTTTTTCCAATAATAAGTAATTGTGACTCTTTTGTCTTTCATTTTCTTTCAAATTTTCAAAATATCCAATCCAAAGTGAATGAACAAAAGTATTTTGATAGAAGTGCTTTTACAAAAGTACTTTTATAAAAGTGCTTTCGTAAAAGTGCTTTTATAAAAGTTCTTTTGTTCGTAAAAGTGCTTTCGTAAAAATACTTTATAAAAGTGCTTTGATAAAAGTACTTTTATAGAATTGCTTTTATAAAGTACTTTTGTACAAGTGCTTCCATAAAAATACTTTTGTAAAAGTACTTTTATAAAAGTGCTTTCGTAAAAGGGTTATAATTGGTATTCTAAAAATTCACTGGGGACAATTATGGGAGAAAAAAGTGAATAAGTACTATTGTATGAGCACTTAAAGAAAGCTGAAAATTTGGGTTTAAAAAATAAGCATTTTTTTTCAGGCTTATTTCCAAAACACTAATAAGTACTTAATGGTGTGGTCCATCCCAAATAAGCACTTATTTTTAAACACTCGCAAACATAATCTAAATTAAAAATAATTAAAATATTCTGTGCTATTAACAAAATTAACTAAAAATGAATTTATTTGAAAATAATTTCTATGAGACGTGGGACCTGTGACTTTTTAAGTAAACATACATATTCAAAACAACTTTATTAATAGATATGTATTAATTTTATGCTTATAAATGCAAATGGCTAAACATTATTGATTTAGATTGGATCATATTAGATCACATTTAGGTAGATACATATTCCATCAAAATATAAATTGATGGGAAGGTGCCGACTAATTCAGTTAGTAACGTGTTTGGTAGGGAAGACCTGCCTTCACCGAGGTTGTGGGTTTGGGATTTGGGAGATGGGTTACCCGTTATTGTTGTTATTGTGTAGCCCCATGAACAAGATGCTGAAACTTTCAACTGATTGATTATGAGAAATTCCTAACGGTCCATTACTTGGAATAATGTTAAAATCTCGGGCCCAATGTTTTCGAATTGCCATTGACCTGGATGGTTGGACCATTTGGATCGGAAATCATCCAAGTAATCAGTTCTATTTTACTCCAAACTTGGCTCCCGGCCAAAAATCATTGAATTGGTTAACGACCTATTGACCTGGGTGGTTGAACTGTTGATCCATTCAACAATTTCTGGTCATTTTTTATTTTAATTATTTTTTTTTAAATTTTAATTTTTTGTTAGAACGGGCCATCTATTTGAACTGGACGATCGAATAATTGACTCGGAAACCGATGGCTATAATGGTTTTGATTCTAGATCAGTTTTTAAAACATTGCTCGGGCCAACAAACTTGAGGGGAAGGGCATCCCATAATGCCCCTAGAGGTGTAAATCGGGTCGTGCCGCCCGCGGCCCGGCATGGCCGGACACAAACTTGGACCAGTCTGGCATGACGGTCTGCAGGCCATGCCAGGCCCAACATGATCATATGGGCTGTGCTGGGCCTGGGGTTTTAGGTCCACAGGCTGAAATGACCTAGCCCGCAGCCTAGCCCAATACAACCCATATATATTATTTATATATATTATATATTTATATAATATTATATAAATTATAATTATATAATATATAATATATTAATAAAATAAATATATTTTTTTAATTTTATTATACTAATTTATTTAATTATGTATAAGCAATTTTATACACAAAATTCATATAAAATTGAAATTTTAAGTTTTTTGTCAATTTTTTAAATAAATAGCTTTGGCCCGATGCACGGCCCAACCTGGTCCAGGGCTTGGCCCATGGCATGGCACGGGTCTGCACATGCCTGGGCTGTGGGCCATGCCGAACCAACCCCCAAAATTTTCACCGGGGAGGACGACACAGCACGACCCACACTTTGCACAGGCCGCACACGGCATGACCCACTTTACACCTCTAGATGCCTCACAACACATCCCGTACTTGTCACCGGGAGATGCTCCCAATACAAGGTCGAGGTGTGATTGGGGCATTGTGGGGCACTGATGTGAACTCGCTAAAATGCCTAATAAAAGAGATTGACACCCACTTGGCATCTAGACCCCA